TCGGGCGGTGTCCGTTGGAGGCTGCAAATCTCTTTGATTTATGCAATTATAAAAGTTGAGGCGGAAGTTAGCGGGATGGATGGATGATGCATCCATCGGTCCGTTTAGACTTTGTATTGAAAATGTGATTGGCGGCAGTTTGTTTGATGTATTAATAGCTTCTGATTAAGGGATTTACTTTGCTGCGATGGGATTGGAGCGAATCGACCTACTATATCAATTAGCCTGAGCAAACTTCAAAAGAACTCACCTCGAAATTGATGTCATATGCACTTTATATGATAGCAGAGAGCTTTCATTACCGGTATCATATTTTAAGAGCAAGATGTTTATATTAAACTACGTATATAATAGGAAACGACAACTTAATTTTTTGTATAAACGTTATATCTTTCTGAGAGGAATTCTCCCATATATTTTCTTAACTGTTTCCAGGTGAAAGGTCGCATTTAATAATGGTATACTAAAAGCAAATATTTTCCAACTCACGTATTCAAAGATTTTCTTGCATAATATGGACATACTAATAATAATAATATTGAAACAGTTAAATATTCATTAATAAACACAAATAAGACATATTTATATAACCATATTAAAAAATAATAATTAACTGTTAAAAGGGGCTATTGACCATATAATATCATTAAATATAGTAACAAGGGCGACTAATGGCCGAATGGTTAATTCGCCCAACCCACGTACCACTGGTCACAGGTTCAATTCCTGGTCAAGCCAGGCCCTTTGTGAGCCCTCTCGGTGCTTGCTGCAATAGGGCCATCGTTCATCACAGATAGACAGTCAAATGAATGAGGTTCAGCATATGGACCTTCAGCCAAGTTGATGGACAATGACGGTGTTAAGGAATCGCAGAGCATCAATATACTACTGAAGTTAACCTACAAGACGACAGCCAACCAATAAATAAAAATCAAAATTATCATGATGGTAACTATCCACCAGGAAAGATTATCCATTTCATGCTAACCGCGATCTTAAATTTACTCAATGTTCACATTGATGAACAAATATCCAATCTATTTAAAATATAAGTAACTCAGTGGGTTCTTGACTTACTAATAAATAATAAAGCAATCGAGATATCAATTATGTATACTGATCACAATGGAAGATAAAACTGTACAAGCTATTAAAGTATAATAAAGCAAAATTGAAATGTCTCTCTGTATGCTATAGCATGTTACATTGTAATACAAATGAGAGTTGTAAATAACGTACGATTTTTCTTTGAAGTCGATAATAAAGTTTTATCTGTATAGAAATTTTACATAAATTATGCATAATGAAAGGTAAAAGCAAACAATATTGTAAAATCGAGATAAAATAATATCGTAAAATTGAACGTCGAGGAATAACGAAACTCATCGTGTTTTAACATAGATTTTAACATAAATCGAAAACAAATATAATATAGAAAAAGTATACAAACCCAACAATTCCATATAAATAAACATACAATATGAACCTTAGAAAAGACTATGGCCCGAGGAATATCGACCTTTGGCTGTCCGGGAAATCAGGAATATTATTATCCCACTATTATTATTAAATAACAATTTAATTTTGCAAAAATCCATCAAATTATAAATTGAATATAACACGATATAGACAAATTAAGCAATAATTCTAAATAACATTTAACCAAACGATTATGGCTTAAGCTATCTGCCCGGAAATTTATTAAAAACATTGTCGGATTTACATATTATTTGTTCAATGGATTTTTCAATTATAAAAGTTTTCAGAATTAAATATTATTGATTAGTATCAACAAGAAAAGTTCCAATTAATATCAATACATAAATTACAATATATTTCAAAAGAAAATGCATTTTCATTATAGATTTCATTATCGTTTTTATTTAATTAAGAAGTATTCATTACTCTACTTAAATTACATTAAAAATAGAAAATTTAAATAATTGTAATCTATGACTTATGAACCCGACTTACGAACTCCCGGACTTTCGAACACATTTCTAAAAGCTCTAACTTGTTATAAATTTTTTTATCTGTTTTATTGCGTTTGTTTCTTTTGTCGTTTTTTTATTAAATAATTGTGAATTACATAATAATTCTACATTGAAAGTATTTGTAAGTAAGTATTTTGTTAATTTTAAACTATTTGATCAAATTTATGCAGTCAATAATACGGAATTTAAAATATATAAAAGTAAAAACCATGATAAAGTGTGGTAAGATAAGTATATTTTGAAATTTTTCAAATTCCCCCAACTTACGAACAAATCCGACTTCAGAACAACCCTTTGGAACGGAACTAGTTCGTAAGTCGGGTGATACCTGTACTTATACAGAAATACCTCGCTTAACATAACAATATTATATGAAACAAACTAAATTTACCGATTACCCGGACTATTGCCCAACAATTAGAGCATAAATGAATACAATATTTTTGATATTGTAGTGTATAAATAAAAGTAGTTAATTAAAGTAAGTATTTGAAATTTAAAAATATAGCAGCAGCATAAATGAACAGATATTTTTGATTATGTTGTAATTATAAAACAGGACAAACATTTGGATAATGGGTCGAAAAAAAAATGCGGATGTCAGGTGATTCCTGTCCAATAGATCCTAATACAAACATTCTATTTATAACATCTGCTGAAAAGAAAATACAAAAAAAAATAAGTATCCTGATGGTATAGCCCCCCACGAGCTTCCTATGATTTGTCCTTGGATGTGCAAATCGGGTGAGGCGCGCCTTCCAAAATATGCGACTCGAGGCTGCTCAGTTAGTATTGAAGTCTTGTTAGTTAATGTTTGTGTATTATTATTACTATCCGCCTCCTATTTTTTTTTTTTTTGCAAATAGTCTCGCATAATACAAACACACACATACACTCGGAAACAGACACAGTCATATACGCACGTGGGGACAAGTTTCTTGAACCTCCTCATCCAAGGTTAATTTATTATGAAAATTCACTTCGCTATCGTCGCTTCGACGCGTAACAAATCATTTGTTTTGTGTAAGTGTGCGTCTCTGCATGTGCGAAAATCGTCGTGTCCAATCCTATCGAATCGCTTTTGTCGTGGGTGCCTTTGTGATTCAATCGTTTCACATATGTAAGTAGCCTGCTGCAATCTTTATTACCGCTTTGTTCTGGATAATAACAGTTTTTCGTCGTTGTCGTCGATAAACATTTGCACAAATGACTCACAACTATCAAATAAGTAAATTCACGTAACGCATTGTTTCTTTTCGGTTTTATTTTTAATTAGTTTTACGATTGTTCATTTACTTGCACGAAAGGTTGACAATAAATTATCTCTAAAAAAAAACGCAATGCAAGCAAATGCAATTAATAATGATGCTTTGTTTTTCAATATTTATTTTTTTTACTTTAGTAATCTTTTGTTTGTACGAATGTTGTGCTTAATTTCGAATCGCAATTCCTTGAATTGCCTCTATGAATTAAATTCCACTTTTGTTTGCCACGGAACAGGAAAACACGTATTACAATTACATAATTGTTGCATACATGTTATCGCTGCTAATTGCTTGAAACATTTTGTTTTTAAACTTTTCTTTGTTGCAAAATATTATTTTTTTCTTGTTGTCATTTTCTTCCAATTACATTATAAATCATACAATTTTCTGTATATAATCATATTGAAGCTAGAACTCCAGTAAAGTATAATTCTAATTATATATTAGATTAGAATTACACCAATTAATGCAAAATGTCAATATTTTAATTTAAATAATAATTTTTCAGTAATTATAGTAAAATATCAAGTAAATAACATATGTTAACCTAACTTATCGTATGCCGAGAGAATGACAACCTAACCTAATTATGCTATATGCCACATCACTCAGATATGTAAAAATATAAAAAATGACACTTTATATTTGCCAGTTTACAAAAAAACAATACTTATAAATTAAACATTCTTACCCAATAAATGGAAATAATTAATTTAATTTTATCTCTAAGTAAATTATTACAATATAAAAATTACTGTTTACAAAAGTTTTTGCTATAAATTCATATCATAAATTAGTCATTAATTTTCTTGGAAATAAGCATTTTATTTATCCGAGTCTGATAATTCAGCAAAAAAATAATAATCTTCAGTGTTTACAATTTCCTTTCTCTCCGTTTCTTGGTATTACCCAATAAAATCCTATTGCCCCTAATTCTTATAATGTTCTTTGTTTCGCAATAAGTCATTTATAATTTCTGATTTCGTGACTTCGAAATCACATACGCATTAACTCTAGAAATACAATAATATAAATATTACGTCTCTTATATTCTGTATCGTAATAATAACAAGAATCTGCTTACAGGATGTGATTATTTACATAAATATAAATAAACACTATTTTATATTTACGTTTTTTTTAATTATCGAGAATTTCTAACATGTTTTTCCTTTTTTTTTCTCCCATCACGTCTTAACTGCAGGATGCATTTATAATCACAATTCGTATTTACATTTTTCGTTCCCTATAAGAATCACAATTTAATTCTCGATTAGAGACGATTATTGCCATCAGCTGTCAGCATAATCGTACACTATTATAATCTCTTCTAGCGAGGCACGAATCCAGCCAACATCAGTGTCAGTGGAAACTGATTTTATTATTGACTACATTCATATTCTAACGGTACACAATTATATCTATTTTAGCAAAATAATGTATTTAATATTGCTGAGATATGATTTTTTTAATTAAATCACAGTTTTAATACTTATTTCTCTAATTAAGTCTTAATGCAAGTTAACAGTTAACATTCTATACAAAATAGGTTTATATTATATTATAGTAAATATTTCCTTATATATACTTATATTTTATACATATTTACAATAGATACATATCAAAGCGATATATAAAATAAGTTAATAAATAGTGAACAAAATGTATTGAATTTATAAAAGAAACATGCAAAAGGATAGAAAAAATATATTAATAATTTTATTTTTATTTCTTGTTCCAGATCTCAACTATTAAAAAGAAACAATGGCATCACCTTGTAATAGATGCTTAGTTGAACTACTCCAAGAAACTATTACATCTTGCCTACTAGGCTATTCAAACTGAAACTAGAATATGGGCTAGCTAGACTATCCTGTAACTAGTATGGAATATTTGAAACTTCCGAACTGAAGGAATTGAGACAAAGCCAGCATTCAAACCAGAAAAATGGCGTAAGTAAATTTAGTTTTTATTTAATTTCAAATCAGTTTGGGTTTAAAAGGAAACATAATTACTGTGGGTAAAATATGATCTGAATAAATGCATTTTGGAAGTGGTTTTTGATTAATTATAATCAGTACAACTAATCTCGCGATTAATTGCTGCATGTCACGAAGCACCATTAAAAGCAAACTTAATCACTTCTCGTGTCACGAGAACTACTTGCTCGACTATATTATATAAAAAAAATATGTTTGGACGTTTAAAGTAGTTGTAAACGTCCCAAAAAGTTAGAACGATTTTTGTTGCTGCGGACAGTTTACGTCTCAGTGGATAGCAGATATTACAGTATTCTTTCAAAGAGTTGCGTTTGAAATGATGTATGCATAAGACGTGACTACCGATGTGCAACGTGTCCAATGCACATGACCTCCCAACACGAATTTACCGCTCAATACGAACATTATTTCTTTTCGTAAATGGGATTGATATTTACTCATAAATTTATGATTATAGAATACCTCGCTTAGTACAGGTAATCGGTTCAACCTATTTCCCGGTCTGTTTAAAACCGAATTAAAGAAAAAAAAAACTATATTTTTTGTATAATATTTTGTTAATATTTTATTTTATTCACTTAAAATTTAATTTGTTTTGAAATTTTCAAACCGCACTATGAAAGGTATTGCTGTATTATTTTATCCGTTTAAAAATATAATATATGAAAACAAAAAAAAAAGAGTTTTATGTTAACAAAAATTCAATATATTGTCTACGTCTTAACATATAGAGATTGTATTTGATACACAGTGATATTAGAGATATTTTATAATACTTAGTAGTAATCTCTCATGGGAGTCGTTCCAAGAGATAAAACATATTTTCACAGCTTTCCGGTTTATGGAGCATTTGCATTCCATAAAATAGTGTTCCTTTCCTTCATTGACGACTATAAAATCGTAGAGAGTGAGAGAGAGATAACTTTTAAAAGCTTCTCGAATAGCCTCGCTCGGAATCGATTTGTTTGATTACTACTTAAAGTGAAGCTTTTGGAAAATTGCGGTTATAAATCCCTTTAGTTCCTGATTGCTTCCCAAAGTGCAAGTCTATCTATAGATGAACAAAATATATAACTTAGTTTCATTCAATCGTACCGTTTTTACTACATCTGTCCAGATTTTGTTCATGATTTATAATGTTTATGTAATGCTTGTAATGAATTTCAGTTCAGTTCAACAGCTCATTTTTTTAAAATTTAATATCATGTACTATGAATATGTTAAATTATGAAATAACTTATTAAATAATAATAATAATTTATTGGCCAAACATCGATACATAAGAAGAGAAAAAAAAGTACAATTTATACATAAACAAATTTTAATATACAATAAAAATTTATATACTAATAGGCTGGCCAAAGGGCTAACTTATTAAATTATACTTGAACATTTATATTACAGATAATATTTTAAATCAATGTTTCCTAAGGTATGAATGTTTTAATCTTCAATCTTAATATCATTAAAATAGGCACAGTAAGCATTCAGTTAACGTACATATATTACGCTAAATGATGTAAACTAATTAGACTGTGAATTCACATTTGATAGCATACATTACTCGGTTTTTGTTTCACACGCATCTATTTGTTCTCTTGAACGTACTTGACATTCACACGAACGAACAGTTTGATTTTTCTTTAGAAAAACAGAATGGTTCAATTTGACTACACAAACCTTATACTTTTTGGGGATACATATGCATCTCTTTGTTCGCACGAACGTACTAGATCAGTGTTTCCCCAACTCTCTTTTTCATGGCCACACCTAAGCCTTTCTTATGCCCCTATGTAATATATACGCTATATGGTTAAACTCTGGACCAGTTCATTTTTGAATTGCACCTGTGGATTGAGAAACACTGTTAGCACGGTGTTATTTCTACTTTTCTTATAATAAGTTTTAGAAGAGCATACTTTTCGTATATCACGCAACTCTTTGTTTGTACGAGCGTACTCAATATACACACGAACGCTCAGTTTGATGTTATTTATTTTTTTCCTACAACAACTTTTAGAGAAATTGAACTGTTCAATTTGACTACAGAAGAATGCACGTACGTACAAGACATTCACACGATTGCACAGTTTGATGTTATTTTTTATTTCTAGAACGAGTATTAGAATAAAAGAACGTTTATTTCAAGAAAAATCCACATTTTATTCGCACAAACGTACTCAAAATGTTTGATGTTATTTCTTTTTTCCTGAAACTAGTTTAAAAAGTAACGGTTTAATTTGACTACAGAAGCCACATACATAATATGAATGCACCAACGACTAGTTCGTAGAACATTGTACATTAACTGTGTTAGTGTATCATAAATAATCTTGTACGTATTATCGAAATACGCCAAAAGTATATACATTAAGTGAGCGTTGACTGTATTATATGTGATGAATTGAAGATAAAATCAATGCTTAAATGTACATTATATATGATATTAGAATAATTGCAATATTAATGTAAAGATCAAGTATTCAAGTGACTATTATCCGAGAGATGAAGGCGATGTAAGTTATTTATTTGCTTTGCGCAAACAAATATATGCGTAAGCCGTAGTGAACTTTACATTGTCGGAATTGATATGTTAAATTGCCTGTTTTACGAATGCAACGAAGAGAAGAGAGCTCGATGCAAAACTGTACACGAGCTTCATTAAATTTACATTATGGAAACGTGTTCGTGGTCGTCCCAGTAATTTAAACGTTTTAAAACTGGATGCAGATTTCAAGGGGGAAAAACGTGAAGCGTTTGGGAAAAAAAAAACAAAAGGAATTATTTGACTGCGCCTCAAAAGCGTGATTAAATAATACACTTTTTCTGTTATGTCTACCTTTGCTTTACGCGCAGTAAATACGTCTGTTGTTCTTTTTATTTATATATATATATATGCTTTCCCCTTTGTTTTTATTGCCACCGCTCGATAAATTCGGTATGGCATGGCTATAGAAATATTATGGCTTTCGCAGAATGCATATTACAAAAATGAAACGGCAACAGCAGTTTATTTTATTTTAATTATTTCCTTTTGACGGCCGCAGTCTAGACGTGTTCTGGATGAACAGTCCTAGTTTCTTGCTGTTTTCCGTTTGGACTATTTTTATTGTTTCCTAAGTTTCTTTATTTTTCTCTCTATTTTCCAACATATAAGAATGACTGTGAGGACAGGAAAAGAAGATGATGCACTATTTTCCGTGGGTGGTTTACCTTCTTTTTTTGTTATTTAACCATTATTACGTGAGTCCATAAAATTTCGATGGAATTGGGCAGAATCGAACGTCGTTTATTATCATGCCACGCCTCGGACGCGTCCATTCATCATTTCAATTTATTACATTGTAAATGTATTTGTTGGGTTTTGGGTCATATCAACATTTTTACAGCACTGAAAAATTGCTTTTATAAAAAAAACTGAAACAATTTATTATTGCATACATTTGACCCTTGTCACGTATATTTACAATAAAAAAAACTTATTTAAATACAGTAATTATTAAAGATTAAAACATGAAAGTAAATCAGATGTGAGAACCATAAGTGGAGGAGATCGCGTTTAGTAATGATTCGGAACGAGTTTTGAGAAGTATGGATTCAATTATGGAATGCAATTAAAATTATTATGCGGAGGCTCCGAGCGGGAGCAAGTATATATTCAATTTACGCTATATTCCTTAGACGAACTTTTTTTGGTGTTCGAAGCTATAGCAAATTGACCGCGATTAAAGCTAGTTTGCATCGCGTCTCGGCCCCGTTTTATTTTCTAATTAAAAAAAGCTCCGAGTTAATTAGGAACTAGCAGTACCCGTTTCTAATTACTATTTACGTTAACGTATCTATGGATAATCAAATTACACGCTTATTTTTTTTTTAATCTTATTAGATGAAAATTAAAATAAAGCCTGTGCTAACTGCATCTACAAGATTAAAATTTAATTTCCATAGAATATTTTTATTACTGTTAGTTTCGTTTTTACGAAATAAAGTCAGAAGATGTCCCACAAGATATAGATGTTACTGTCAATATTCTTTATAATAATTGGATATTTCATTAAATTCCGTTTTTTGTTACTTAATTTATATAATATTAATGTTATTGCATACTTTAATTAATTATTATGCAAGAGACTTGATTTGATATTTTCAAACCAGATTATAGTGAATCCGTACTGATCGAAGTTATGATCATTCTTGCAACATTATTAGAATTTCATATACAATTTAAATATTAACAAACTTATGAACTGAACATAATATTGGAACTTATCTTATAAAATATATGTTTTTTAATAAATCGGTTTTAATAAAAAGTGTAAGTGATTGTGAGAAATAGTTTATTTTAGTGGTGAATACAAGTTGTTTTAAAAGTGAGTAGTGTAAGTGTCTTTATAATTAAAACATTTTGCATAGCAGGTTGATGGAATAGTGAAGTATGCACCTGGAAGACATCCTCTTTGGTGATCGGAGTAACTGGGGACCACCCTGTGTCCACTGTTCTCATTTACCTAGTGAACACAGCTGGTGGTATCTCAGTAGCTCCTCACCGCAACCACAGCTCCAGGTGCCGGCGATGTCATCTAGCGACGCGACGCCGCAACCAACGACTTACGACGACGGACGTCGCGGCGCCCTCTTGACGTCAGTCGTTACGCAACGTAAAAACTGCAAATGCATATTCTATCAACTCGACTGGATTCGATTTTCAATGCATCTAGTACACTATTTTTACCATATATTGCAGTTGTTTGTTTTTTATATATTCACAACTAGCTTCGTAATTTATTCCCGACCAACTCTTTAGGGTTATTTTGTATTCAAGTAGATTTAAGTTTCAGGTTATTTTTAAGATGACAAAATAAAAGTTGTAAATTATTACCACACGAAAATAGATGTTTTATTGTACACAGTTCAAAACAATAATATTATTCGAGAATCCCAAGAATTTTCAAAGTATAGTATAATATAAACATGTACGTTTGTAATCAATAATTTTGTTACTCCCAAGATCTATTTTTTTATCTTGACATCAGGTATATTTCATACTTCTTAGAATTACATGTAAATATTTTTAATAAAGCCATTTGTGATTGATGAAAGAAGTATTTTTAATAACTATATTTTATTTAAAGCAGATTTTAATAATTGCATATCTTACTAAAATTTAGTGCTGTAAAATCTACTAAATTAAAACCTAGTTTCAAAATATGAAAGTATTTTTCAATTTAAATATTTTCATATCAAAACTAACTTAATTAACCTTAACTCATTGTTTTATCAAGTTTTGTAATTCTGAATATTCTTTAGATGTAATCGACAATTTATGAGAGTTGGAGAAGTTTCAACAATTACTTATTACTAGCAATTTGCTAAAAGTTATTAAACTTGATTTTAAGAAAAACTGATTCAATCCTATAAAATGTTATTGCTAAGTGTTAATAAAGAAACGTTATAAAGGATATAAAGATTGTTTACATTATATAATTATTTATATTTTTACCATAGTTTTCAGATAATAATATATATATTGTCGGACAAATTACGTATTTCATGTATTTAATAATGAATTGTTTTATTTTGCGAAAAATTACCTTATAAAAAATGCGTCTTATAGTCGGAAAAATACGGTATTTACAATCTATATTAAAAGAATATTAATATCTTGTAAATGAAAAAATGTTGTATTTATTTCTAGATTTATGGACACGTCAATTTGACGATTTTAGATGCAGTGTTAATTACGACCTTTAACTGTTCTCATTTTTAAATATATAATAATTTGTGTTGTAATTGCAATTCTACTGAATCTAAGAATGGAGAGAAATGTTTTCAATCATTTCAATTGTCTAACTAATGGTGTTCTGGGTGCTAAGTTCTGAACGTTTAAAGTGCGTTTGGTTTATATCGTTTATAAAATTAGATGAAAGTATAAATGGATGCAATTCACAGTTGAGAGAGAGAAATAACGTAATACAGAGTATGCGGGAGATGGGAATATTGTGTGAAATAATGGAAATGCACGTAAAAATAGTATGCGTTATATAAAGGATTCGGCACTAGAATGGGATTTGCGTTAAAATTAGACGTTTTCAGCTGGTCCGGGGGTGGATGAGAGAAAGACAGGTATTCCGGCGCGCTGTGACTCAAAGCAATATCTACGTATCCGCTGTATGTCGTGTGTGTGTGTTTGTATGTACGTGTGCATGCATCATGGCACACCGTGCGATCCCGATGAGACATTGTACCAGATGAGGTTGTCCATCAAAGCAAACACCTGGGCAATTTGGGACACGACGCGAATACCCTCCCCGCGCCTCCAACAATACGCAAAACAAGAAAAGGAGAGAAAAGATGGTAAAAACAATGGACGAACGAAGTAAGATGACGAAGATGAGTATAAGAATAAGAGCGGTAGCGGGAAGAAGAATTATGTGCTTTTGGCCCACTTAACCAGATTCTGATCTAAATTGGACGGTGCAAAATACCTATTTGTGGCCTTGCACATTTCGAATTGGTACGTTTGGCATTAGCCTGCTCTGCCAGACCGCACCGAACTCTCTCCTCCGCCGCGCGCGATCTCTTGCATAATGCAGAGTGTTATTTAGAGAGCAGCTCGTCCTGCTCAGCTGTTCCGAACTGTCGCACCATCAGTCCAATCTAAACCGTACAACCAACATACGACGTGTTCGTTTAGCACTAAACCAAATCAGAGGAGACCATCAAGATACCTCATCCAAAAGACAAAAAACAATACACCTAGTGGACAACAGTGGTTGTATAAGAAAGAACTCTAATACCAATAATCCAGTGCCGTTCTCTGCAGTGCCTCCTGTGCCATTATCAACTATTTATTTTAATCTTATAATTATTAACAACTGTGTTGGTTTGTTTCTTACTTTTTTTTTACATCTAATAACCCAATTATATTCATCCATTTACAACGAAACGTAAATTTGAGTATACTTTTTTCTTTCTGCTAATATAATGTTCTTTATATGTCCAATGACGATTCAATGTCATGCAATAATATCTGGGCCGCGCGGCTATATTGGTTGTGTCGCAAAATACTCAAATCTACACCTATTTCCTGCACTAACGAAAAAATCGAATAAATTGAATTGGAGATCGTTACATCATCGGTATCGATAGAAACGAACTGGAACCGGCGATTATTTTTTATTTTGTAACTCAACGAAAATGACTCATTGTTAATCTCGTTGCAAAAAGCAATTATGTAAGCATTTCATTTCATTCCATTTATATTTATTTTTATCGTTTGTTCTTTTTTTTTTGGCGTTGCGAGCATTGCGCGAACGCTTCAAAGAACATTGGTAATTAGACTCAATCTGCGAATTATCCGTGCTCCTCTGTTAATCAGTTAATTAATGGAAATTGCCTCCAAGGCCGATCCAATTCAATTTACGAAGTAAATTCCGTTTATATAGATTGCCTTTTTTTCTAACCACGATTTATTCCTTAATCGTCCCAAGAGATATTGAATTTGTCTTCATTTGAAGTTCATTTTCTTTACAATTATTATTTTCAATATTTCATTTGGACAAATTTCAAAGAAAAACGTGATTAAATATATTTTTTCATAATAACCATTGCACGAATTTCAATACTATTTACCTATTTTTCGGACTATAATACGTACCACTAATTAATAATAAGTCATTATTTTTTAAAGTAAAAGGTGCAACTTATGGTACGAAAAATTTAAAAAAACATTGTTTTTTGAGTAAAATAGCTTAATTAATATGACTTTTAATGCATGAGCTTGAGTAAATCGATTTCAGGATAAGAATCATTCTTTTTTTTTTACACTGTTGAAAGTATTCAATACCTCGTATATTCCGGCTTTGATCAATGGTTCTCTATAGTCCGGTTTCTAAGAGTTCGGGATGTAGCAGAAACCTATTACCCGGAATATACGAGGAATTGCTGTATTTTTAATAAGTTGATAGTTTTTCAATTTAGTATTCTCCTTTGAATGAATCAAAATCCTGAAATTAGATTGTGCTTATGGCTGTTAATTACTGTTAATTTAATTTCAATTCTCATTTGGTATTGATATTTGTAGGTGTTTCTCTGGGTGAGAGAAAAACAATGGTTGAAAAACTGCTCGCTCATCATCTCGTTCTCTCGCTCATCATCTCTATTCACCAGATTTCCGTTCGCTCTCTCTGTCTGTCGCACTCTTTCTTTCCGTAGAGTCAGATTATTCAAATTTGTTTTGAAACAGTCCTGGGCTGCGTGCCAGAAGCGCGTTTACACTGTTTTAACTGTTCGAATCTGTAAATGCACTATCTGGTACGACAATCCAGTACGCTAGTACCATCATTCTTTCTCTCATAAGAAGCGCGCACATCAACACTTATTTTTTTTTTGTTATTATTTCTTTATATTGTTTCAATATTTTGTATTATTTATTTAAGTTCTATTTATTGTACATGATAAACTGTATTGATTAAATTATGACATTATGACACATTTATTTTTAATTATCTATATTTGCTTCTAACTAATATTTATCATCAATTATATGAAATAACTAATTATTACTTTCGAACAGCATTTCTCAATCTTTGAATCGTGACCCAAACTTTACATTTGGAATTGGTCAAAAAATGACAGCTGTCACATAGTGTCAAAGTGCGCAAAAATATTCTATAAACAATTGGGACGCAGTACTTGGGACGCAAACGAGTATTTTGGATCAAGAGGCAAAAAGTTGAGAAACGCTTTACCTAGTTATTCCATATAATAACGATTGCAATTGGTGGAAAGTGTGTAATGAAAAATTTTCATTAACTAATTGAATTTTCTAAATCTAAAGAAATAAATTACAATCCAAATAATTAAAATTAGTTAGTAGTGACATGTAATGTAAATGAGTCCACTAACACTTGATATTTTTATAATCTTTAGTTAATACTTTATATTGTATAATGACATTATTTTATGTAATAACTAAGTAATTTGTAGACTAATTAGCTAAAGTATATAAATATTCTATAAATTAATTAGCGAGAACTAATTATAAAAATTACCCAATATTTAATATTTCTATTTAATTTATTTCTTATAAAACAAAAAACCCTTAGTGATATTTCTGAACGAGTGTAAATTGTTTATTTACCAAATGGTCCATCGAACGAATAAAACAACATACTTGTTTTTTGCTGAAAACGTGTTTAGATTTATGTGCTTTTATCGGCAATTACGTATATTTGAAGAGGGTTTTACTCTGTATAGTCCAAAGTAGCATGAAAATATATGGACTGTTAACGAACCAGCTCTCCGCTCTCTGAATTTTACGACAGGCAATAGAAAAAAAAAGGGATAAAAACTTGCCAGAGTTGCCTTGATGGATATGGAATTTAGGATTCTCGTTTGCAAAGAAAGTTTCCTCCGTATTACGGTTCAACTTCCAGTAATTTCCTTGCATTCGCAATATCAAATTCGCCGTTGGAAATAACCTTGGTCTTTAATTTTAGCTTCACCTATATTATCTTTACGTTTTGAGGCAATTTAAATTTCATATTTTGTTATTAATCTGTATGAGTGTGATTTGATTATCGCCTTTGGTGTAAATATAAAAGAAGTAATGCTGTGATACGATGGTAAAATGTACGTTCGTTTGAACGTCAAGTACGTTAGTGCGAACGAAGACACAAAAAAGTACAAAAAGGCGTATTTGTATTAGTTTAATTTAGCTTTTTGGAAAAACGAAATGTCTTATGGTATTTATAATATAAAGTTTATTAATTGGTAAAATTCATAAGTTTTCAATTGAAAGATTTGCTTTACGAAAACTTCTAAATTGTTCAGTGCTCTGAAGTTATGAATAATTAATTCTATTTGGCGAATTTTATGTAGAGGACATTTGAAGGATATTCGCAAATAAACTGATGTCCATTATCGATCTCCTCTATCGAATGCCATTTCTTCGAGGAATTTTAACATTGAGAAAATAATATTTATACGTGCTATTATTGTATGCTCTGGCACAAAAACAGTTTCCTAATTAATCTCTCCTAAAACAAATGCATTGTTCCGCATAAAATTTCCACGCCGTTCCACATCCCCCCTACTCCAAGGCATTATGCAATATTATTACAGACACGTGCATAATTGCGGTAGAGTTCATTTATCAGCAGTGCCAATTATACTCATGTTTATTGGCTAAACGTCGGACAATCTAAGCAGCGTGTCGTGTCTCATGAATATATTTTTTTTCTCGAATAATTTTGTAATATTAGTGTACTTTTTGATAAGACGTAGTTCAACTTTTTTTAAGAGAATTCGTTGATTTATTAATTTAAGAACATGCAATTTGACTCAGATTCTCCAGATTTTCCTTCTATCTTAATAGTCTATTACAAATTATAATATAATTTATAATGACACCTTTGATTTATACAATTATTGTAATTAAAAGTATAAATTATGTGTAATTGACATTATTTATACTTTTAATTACATTAAGTCTGAGTAGAATACTTATATTATCTACTAAATATTAATAACTAATTAATAAGAGAAGTATTTTTTTTTAAATTTAATCTTTTATATTTTATCATGTATTTTATGTATATTTAAATAAGAAAAAATGTGAAATAAAATGTTCATAAAGTCTTTTAAATATTTATGCCCTTGCATCAACATTGTGTGTTGTATACCGTACAATTTGAAACGGAACTAATCAAGTACTTTAAAACCACACATAATAATATACGAAAAAAAGAATGTGTATTAATTGTCAATTATAATTTAGTTTGTTTTGAAATTTTTGAAACTTATTATACTGAATCTACTTTGATTGAAGCTTGACATTACTGTATAAGAAAATATATTTTTTGGATTTATTGATGTTCTATGTATTAACCTTTAACTACTCGCGCCGGTGTAAAAAGTACACCAATTTTCTAAGAAATGATATCACATCAATATTTTCTTTCCTCCATTTATGACACTTAACGTAACCTATGCCCAAAGTGTTTACTAAATGCCAGTGCTATATTGTGTTGACTGCGTCTCAAATAAGTTGTTTTTATGTATTTTATTCTTGCTCTGCAATGTTGCTGATATCTTTACTTACGCTTATATAGAGCGCAATGACGACAATTATTATACAGAAGTTATTATATTAATGTATTACAAATTGTTATGAATCTAATAAAAAAGCATTAGTTAACTTGAAAAAGTTTTTTTCTGTCGTAATACAAACATGTAAGCACCTTGTCTGGCGGCAGTAATACATGTGGTGTATAAAATACACCGCGCGAGTAGTTCATAGAAATTTCAGTGCGCGAGTAGTTAAAAGTTTTTATATAAAAAAAAGTAAGAATAAAAACAAATTTACGTGTGAGACTTTCATTTGCCACCAAATAATGAAATATTGATATACCACATAAAATCTCACATAAATATAAAAAATGCATGGTATATTGTTTCTCTCTTATTTTGTACCATTTTCTTACTTTCTCTGGTTTTAAGAAATAATGAAAAGGTTAGGGAATCTACACTCACAAAGTGTCGTATAACCCAACAACTATTTAATATAATGAATACGATGATATCTGATTATCGTAATCGTACATAATTATATATTGAAATTACCAATGGAAATTACAAATTGCTATACGCAATTCTTCCATTGTAATGTTGATGCATCGCATCAAAATGAATAAGAGAATAACCGAAGTATAATTATTATGTTGCCTTTGCGCAATGTCGACGAAACACCGGACAAATGTATTTAGTTGAAACGGAACGGAAAGGGAAGGGAAGGGAATCGATTTGTCCAGTAATCGAAAAACACGACACGACCACTAAAATAAAGGTGTTGCAGTTCGCATCAATCATCCGTGAATGTCAAGAGTTCTACGAGAAAAGGTGACTGGAAATAAATTGAGCAAAGCGCAATTTCCTTACCACCCTTTTGACGTAATTAATGATGCAAAAGCACTTTGTAATTCGGACACAATTAGCTGACTTCATGAAATAATGAAAAGAATGAATTATAACTTCAGGATGATCCACTTTTTATTTAACCTCGATTATTTTCGTTTTCAAGACGATTATGTATTATGAAGTATTTGCCACTTGCTTAGAGTGTAGTTCAATTGCTTAATTATTAATTAAATACTCAATGTTCTTCATTATAAAACGCACCCCAAACTTATGAGACAATTTTTAGAAAAAATAAGATTATTTTATAAAAAACCATAAGATACACCACAATTCACGATTTTGTTTTAATGTAAAAAAGTACGTCTTATGATCAGACTCATAAATTACTTTGATTTAATTCTTATATGAAAAGAATATGTATGATGTAAAATCTAATTTTGCTTTAAATATAATTCAATTTAAGTTTTATGCTGTGTACTAATTACTATATTCTTGGACGTACATCAATTATAAATCAATTTCTTTACGTAAAAATATATAACTTTGGGTCAGAAAAATAGGGTAATTCAATTCATGAACGAGATTTTAGTAAGTGAATGTTCTTTTGGTTTATCGAAATATCCGTCTGCCCCATTTCCTCGGTTTGCGTGCGTAGATTTTTGCATGGGAATTTGCCACCGTCCGTCTCTTTGGAATGCAGCCAAATGAATATTGGCTCAATACTAATACATACCCGGTCGAGGGGTCTAATATTAAGTGCATGTCAGTAAGCCAGCAAAAATATGTTGGAAATTGATGAACACACCATTACAAGATTATACACATCGAAGGCACAATATGTTTTCTTTCCAAATACACGCGCGCCTCCAAAGAACTCTGTCGCACGCAATCCAACAAAGGTCATTGCAGCGTTACCTAACGAAGACACGATGAAAATCATCATATTAATTTGTTTTTTTTTCTTTCTTTTTCGTTTGTTCCAGGAAACGGATGACTTTGATCGATCGCTGCTGTAGAAGCGAGCCCGGGAAAGCAAGGGGCAACTTTTGAATCGTTGACCTCGTTGGACGTGCAGCAAATCTGTTGGAACGATGATAATTAAAAGAACGTAAACTTTGTGTGCAAATGTGTTTTCCAGGCGAGTATGATAATCGTAAACAATATACATTTTCTTATAAACTATACCTATTTTCTCCAAGATTTCAACTTCCCGTATATACAGTCTGCAGTCGCTTAACGTTCATCATTTTGATGTAACGTACATTATTTACATCGAATTAAAGTACAAATCCGTAAAAAAGTACAATTGCATCAGTTGGTTCTCCATATTGTATATTTGACATCTGTCATGAATTTGTTTGTGCAGGACAGCAAAATGTACGTTAGTATGAAAGTCTTGTACGTACATATAAATGCATGAATTTATATGCGAATTTACTATTTCAATAACATACAATAATTTGTCAACTGAACGCCGACTGTATATACTAATTATGTTATTTTTCAACAGTTTCCACTCGAAAGCATTCAACACTTATCTGATAGAAAATAATAATTGTTCCTAGTTTAATCGCATCAATAATAATAATTGGACAAAACTTCACTTCAATTAGAAATATTTAATAATAGAATACAAATATTTAATAATAGAAATTCAATGTGTTTCATTTTTTTTTATGAAATCTGCGACTAACGATGACAAAACTTTTATTATTAAATGTTAAGCATCGGACAATATCTGGATTACAGCAACTTTCTATATTAAAATAAGTTTGTTTTTATTGTGGGAAATAAGAATAGATTACCTGTACTAAATCTAATTAAAACAAAACTCATTTTATGCATCAAGGATTTGTATTTAATTCGTATAGAATATACAATATGTGCGCAAAGCGTTTAAACTTTAGATAAACTGTAATTATAGTAAAATATGCAATATATTGGTTTTCCAAATTATTACATTATGTAAGAAATTTTTGTTTAATTACAAAACACTATAGAGTGCCAGATGCATTTTTTGTTACATTAAGCATTCCAAATCTATATAAAGATTTACATTTTTTGTTGGCTTTACATTGAAATACGCTGGGTTTAGTTGCTCAATATGAAATTAAATGTCTAAAGTTTGTTTAATATGAATTTAGAAATGATACTTAATGAAAATATATATCGTAAACTGCTTTGTGTAGGGTAATTGAAAGGAGGAACGGACGGCGATGTGTCTCCTATGTAAAGGTATGGGATAACTATTGATTCGCTGTCGGCTGTAAATGTATTCGGATATAGCAATCGGCCAGTGTATTAGTATTAGTAGTAGTAGTACATAATACATAACTATCTAAGCATATACAACTTCTTTTTTAATCCGGACAGGGAATGGCTTAGCAGCAGGAGAGAAAGGACGTGCAAAAAGGATGAGGACGACTGGGGTTGGTGGTGTATTATTAAATCGGGAAGGGGGATCCATCCGGTGGTAATCTGAATGCATTGCGCGCACGTTAATGCTATCATCGGAGTTGCGGTCTTTTGTGGAGAATAGCGGGATATAATGCAGAGCAACTATATTTGGATTGATATAAATGGTGCAAGGAGAATGACGATATGGTCATATGCACAGTGGCAGTGTGGTTAGCTGGTTGTGATATCGAACCACGACTGCTACCCATACTGCCTTTGTGACTATGGCAAGAGCTACACTAATAAACAATCTAAATCACCTCATCGAATTCTTTACAACTCTCATATGTATATATTATGTATTCATAGTATTTTGTATTTTTTGTGTTCACGTTTTATTTCATCACAGTATTACTGTTTAGAACTCTTAGTTTATAGTTATTATCTAATTGGTATCAATTTTCAATTTTTTCACAATTCAAAGCATATTTTTGGTTAGGTTAGGTTGCAGAATATCCAACTACAAGGCGGACTTTCCATCTGAATATACAAAAGGAAAAATATTGATCATTAAATAAATAAAAATATTATTATATAACATATTTTCTTTCTTATTTAAATCCTATTTTTCAACAAACAGGTTAAAACACGTTGTAACCAATTATACAATAAAACCTCGCTTAACGAGTTTGATTGTTCCAAAATTTCCAGATTTTTACTCGTATAGTGAAACATATTAAAAAAAATAAACATAATATGTGTACACAAGTTTTAAAAATGATGTAGCAGGCACGCAATCCGGGACTTCTCTTCTCATCGTCACTCGTTATGCGAAACGTCGCTCGTTAAGAGGGTCATTTTTCTTACAATTCATTTTGCTCTTTAAGCCGAGGTACTAATAGTTTTGGAAAAAAAAAGTACCAAATATTTAATTTTATGGATTACGTCATATTTTTTCATCTACACTATCCCTTTTCTTCTAATAACAAGAAATAGTAAAAAAAATAGTATTCCTACGGTCGATACCACAAATGGAGACAATATTTGTTTTAAATCCATAAATGAAACTGTTTAAATAATTTGAACGATTTTTGTATGTAGATTGAAATGGTGAGAATTCCTCAACTATAGTATTAATTGTAAAGTCGATAACGAGTTATCGAAAGTTTATCAGTAATGTACTAGGACAGGAGTTGAGAACTTTTTTTTTAACTATTATTAACCCAAAATATATTTATTTACATCGATGTTTAATTTTTGATATAATAACATACAAATTGAGGCATTTTCATGTCAGAGCAATCTTCGAGTTCAAACAAATTTAAAATAATTTAATTGGTAAACGTTCTGATTACCCCATGATTTGTATGTTTACCCCATTTGGGGTAATTTACGCCGGTTTGTCGTACTATAAGCATTACTGACGATCCATATTTTCTATGAAGTTTTTTTTGTAAAATAAAGTATAATAGAAAAAAAGATGATAAGCACTGGCTAGTGACAATAGAAATAGGTGAGGCCAGTGACCAAAAATAACATTTTTTTTAACTATGTCTACTTTTGACAACTAATTCATGAACTATTGGCCTTAGCACCGAACGGCCTTAGAACGACGAAACAAATTGTTGTTTTCATTTATCTTATATTAAATCAAAATGCATATTTAATTACTTCATTTAGGAAGGACAATCAGCATCGCAGAGATACAGGTCTTGTATGCTGACGAAGAAGGGGAAAGGTTTTAGTGAGGTAAGAATCCCACAGTACCATGACTCCTCGTGGTCCTTATGTAAGGTTTCCTCTCCTCCCAATTTATCATCAAAATACGTATTCTAGAATCCTAATATATCTATGAAATCAATCATCAAAGCATTGAAAAGGTTGTGTATAAAAAAGAACATCTGATTTGGAGGAAGATCAGAATTATTATTGGATAAAACAATATTAATTAATAATAATAAATAACTGACAAAAAGACCTATATTCAGTATCCCTTTGCAGCAATTTAATTTAGTTTTATTTTTAATTATGTTATTTTTATATTTGTATTATGTTTGTTGCAATAAATATTATTATTATTATTTAATAAAAAATTTCATTTTTGTTTAAAAATTTATCTCAACATTATCGATCTCTGAAATACCACATTACGGTACGTATCCAAATATTATATAAATGTCTTCAATTACTATTAAAAAGTACTAATTTAGATAGTTCAAAGAGATTCATATTTAATTGCTTAACATAACAAGTCATGTCTATTAATAATTTAAAATAGTTGTATTATATTTATTAAATTGGCTTTCACCTCCCGTGGTACATTTAGTCTAATAATTATTATTTTCTGTAAATGACTTAACAATTTTATTTAAAAAAAAATAAAATCTACAAATAAAAGAAAACAGTGCTACTTTGTTTTATCCTTATTCCAATACAATTTATTTCAAATAGCTGTAATCTTAGGATATACGCAATTATATAATACACATAATACAGGATTATTATATTTTCTTTTAATACTTAGGGCGACATCTAGTGTTAATAAAAAAATATAAATTAAAGAAAATATGTCTTATAGGCAACTAGTTATATACTGCCGTTATAGAACGAGTAGGTCAAAACGTTCATTTCTTAGTAACTCTAGTAGATCAAAGTAACATAACCAATATGAATAAGTTATTGTGTTTTTGTTATTTGTGTTGACCGCGAAAAAGTAAAATCCAAGAGAAATAATAAAATAAATGTATTGTTCTTTATACAATTTGATACTGCTGTGTGTGTTTTACATTTTGTTATTTATTAATTTATGAAGCAATACAATTTTGTCAAAAGTATCAATTGTATAATAATGTTGTGAATAAGATGAATAGTGTGGGTACCTCATCTAACAGTGTTCAGCTGAATTTATCAAATAAATTCAGCCCAAATAAATTAAATGTTATTAAAAAGCCAGTGATTCCAATCAAGCCCAAAGCATTGAGTTTAACCCCAAACTTAAGAGAGTTTGCAGCAAAATTGGCTGCTGAGAAAGCAAAGAAGGTGCAGGAACAAACTAACAGTTTTCAGGCATTTGTCACTAAGAAACGTTCATTATTGAGTACAAAGAAGCAGTGTTCTGAGACTCACTCTGATATTGCAAAGTTTGTCTCTGACAGGACTGTCGGATTAGTTAATAAGTCGCAATTGGTGCCTACAAAACATTCAAATGGGTAAGTTACTTATGAGCATGCATCAACAGCTATTAAATTCATTATTTTGCAGGTTTAATGATAGTCCATCAAATAGTTTCACTAATAAAGTTACAACTGCAAGTGCCTCATCCCCAGTTGCAACATCAATTAATAGTTTCACTAATAAACTTACCAGTAATTGTCCCTCTCCAGTTGCTTCATCAATCAGTAAGTATTAAAGTACAATTTAAACTGCAATCATTTAATTGCTTTTACTTTCTTACAGGTAATCAGAATGGATCTGCTAAAAAGTTTACATTTAAAAAGATAACAAAGAAGCCAGTGGTTGATTTGGAAAATCTCAACAGTCCAACAATATGTAATCAATCAGCTTCAAAATCTTTCAGAAATTCAGCTACAGTAGGCAGTAAGTTAATTCACACATTAAGTTTATTAAAATTATTTTATATTAATTTTTTTTTTTTAGAAAATGTATCAACTGCTGAATTGCTTGATATTCTGGAAGACAAAAAGGAAAACAGTACAAATAACATTAATCAATTGAATAGTGCAAATACTACAATCAAAGCAATACCCAAACAAAATGTACATAAAGAAGAAATAGATCTGAATCAGTCATTGGGAATTGACAATTTGCTAGCGGAGAGCTTGGATTGGGATGTACAAGAAAAGAAAGCAGAGAAGACCAAACAGTTGGATGAGATGATTATTGAGAATATTGATTGGGATTCTTTTAATGATGAATTCCCAGATGATTTAGAAGCAACATTAAATGATGCAAATGCTTCAAATTTAGATAATACATTTACACCTTATGAAGGAGGAAAATCTAAATCGCATTCCAGGACTGATAATACCCGTACGTATCGAAAGCAATACTTGAAGTTTTTTTTATGTATGTTTTCAATGTTTCAGTGGAATTCCGAAAGGTATATCCGCATACAGATGTAATGAACGAAGTGCTTCATGGGAAATTCGGTTTGCAAAATTATAGACCTAACCAGGAAGAGATCATCAATGCCAGTTTAGAGCAACACGACTGTTTTGTTCTGATGCCAACGGGCGGTGGTAAAAGCTTATGTTATCAATTACCTGCTGTTCTTACACCTGGAGTGACTGTAGTTATATCACCACTTCGTGCGTTGATTAGCGATCAAGTTGATAAATTGAATGCCCTTGATGTGAGTACATTTGTTACACAGTAAAACCATTGAGTGTAAAATTGGGATATATTTCAGATTCCTTCAGCTCATATGTGTGCAGACGTGAAGAAGTCTGAAATCGATGTTATAATGGCTAAATTGGCGCAAATGGAACCTGGAATAAAGTTACTTTATTTAACTCCGGAAAAAATAGTTGCTTCTCGGAATACCTGTGATATGTTGCAAGGTTTGCACAAACGAGGCAAATTAGCGAGATTTGTAATCGATGAAGTACATTGTCTGTCCCAATGGGGACATGATTTCAGGTAGTTTTTTTTTAAAGATTACATAATGCAATTTTGATAATTATGTTTTTATCTACAGACCTGACTACAAGCAATTATCATGTTTGAGAAGGAATTATCCAAAGGTTCCTATAATGTGTTTAACAGCCACTGCCACGAAATTAGTACAAGAGGATGTTTTGAATATTCTAAATATTAGAAACGTAAAAACATTCATCAGGAGCTTTAACAGACCCAACATCAAATATCAAGTATTGTCGAAAACGGCGAAAATTGTGACTAGTGATATTGCGAACTTAATTAAGAGTAAATTTCATAGAAAATCTGGAATAGTTTATTGTCTGTGCCGAAATGATTGCGATACGTTGGCTAAAGATCTGAGTAATTTTGGTGTTAGAGCTAAAGCGTATCATGCAGGTGAGGAATTTCTTTCATATTTCTGTTTGGGTGTCAACTATTATTTAAATTAATTCTACTAGGAATGAGTGGATCGTCTAGAGAAAAGGTTCAACGTGAATGGATGAACGATATCTTTCACGTGATTGTAGCCACTATAGCTTTTGGAATGGGAATCGATAAACCGGATGTGCGGTATGTGATCCATAATTCGGTGCCGAAATCCGTCGAGGCCTTTTATCAAGAATCAGGAAGGGCGGGAAGGGATGGCGAGACTTCGTATTCCTATTTATTCTACTCTCCTGGAGATGTTATACGTTTAAAAAAGTTAATACAAAGTATGTTTCGTTATATATTTATTTTATTATGTCTTAATTATTATACTTGCAGTGGACCGTAATACTACTAAAAAGACCTTGGAGGGGCACTTCGAGAACTTGCAGCAAATGGAGCAATACTGTGACAACAAAATCGATTGCCGAAGGTACTTGCAGTTGATGCATTTAGGCGAGAAATTCGATAGGAATATATGCTTGAAGAACAAAGCAACCGCTTGCGATAACTGCGAGAACATAAAAAACAATCAAATAATGGACGTCACTAAAGAATCTCGACAGTTAGCTCAACTCGTCAAAGAAATGGCCACAAGGGAGAATTTAACTATGCTCCACATCGTTGACGTCTACAAAGGAAGTAAAATCAAGAAGATAATCGATCGAAGACACGATAAACATTCACTTTATGGAGCCGGTAGTCACATGAGCAAGAACGACATTCATAGAGTTCTCAAAGATTTGTTATTTAAGAAAGCGCTCAAAGATCATTGTGTGCTCACTGGCGAATTTCCAATAGTTTACGTGAAACCAGGACCGAATATGCAAAGTCTCTACAGCACCAACAGCAAAGTAACAATTTCTGTTGAAAAACGAACGAATTCGAAAGCGCTTAATGTTACCAATTCTTCGACATCGTTGACACCCGATGATCTATCATCTACGTCCGACTATCAATCATATACTCCCGACGATCAACCATCGACATCAAACGCATCGTCAGCTACCAGTTCCTTTGGGAATGCCACAACTGCATCTTCGCCGAAAACGAATTTACGCAAGATAAGTAGTTTGAAGGTCATGTGCCACGAAGAGTTGCTGGAAGCTTGCAGGACGTTCGCCATCGAACGAAACGCAACTCTATCTTCTATAATGAACTTGACTGCATTGAAAAATATGTCCGAACAGTTACCGGATACTGTTGATGATTTCATGAAGATACAGTATGTGACGAAAGCGAACTTCCAGAAATTCGGAGAAGCTTTTCTCAAAATTACCAAAACGTACCGAGCCCAAGTAGATGCTCTAAAACCCGTGGCTACTTTCGCTCCTGCAAGCGCTGCATACAACGATGACGATTGGGTCGCCAATAATTTTAGCCCTTCACCAAAAAAGAGGCAAGGTACAAAACGGAAGTTTTACAGACGCAAAGGAACTGCAAGCAAAAGGTATTCATTTAAATCGTATTAATTTAACTGTTTTTCTTACTTTCCAATTTATTTTTTTTTCAGGGGCAGTTGGAAGAGAAGGAAGAATGGTTGATAATTGTTGTACATGTTTAATCTAATTATTTTGTTATTAATTTATATTTTGTATTTAGAAATTGATATATTTGATGCAAGTCCGTTTTATAATGTTTTTATTTTTATTCAATTTTTTCCTAAAAACCTTTATCACATATACGACATTAAAGTTGTAATCCACATTCAATGATTAGAGAATTAAGCATTAATTAAAGAAACAAATTAAATGTCATTATTATTTAATCAAATGAGAAATATTTACCTTCATTCAAACCCGATATTTATGTAGGATTCTTATTGCAATATTATAATAGAATAACCTAAAATTGCGTTAGGTAATGTATGTTCAAATAGAATTAATGTTAAGAAATATATCAGTATGTTTTACAAATATACAAGAAAAATAATAGGAATGTTTTCTATACATAATAATTAAGTTATTAAAAATCTTACATATGTCCAAATAATAATGTATAAGTAATCATTTGTTTACAATGCTGAATAAAACATACCAAATAAATTGTAAGTAAAGGTAATATTTTTTTTAAAACCACCTCAAATATCTGTTTCTTGAATGTTTTAATGGTAAAAAAGGTCATTGGTCGCGAAATTTGTTTGACCGTTGTTTCGTTCAAAAGTTTATCTACCTCTATTTTACTACTAAGTAATTATAATAGTGTCGTGACCGACCAATTTATTGTCATCTATTGTATAACTAATATGTTTATTTGTTAGGGAAATGACTTTCCTCTTAACTATTACAAATCATATTTAATGTATCCATCAAATATACAAACGGATACTTGTACGTGATTATTTAGATTAACTTGTGGAATATTCCAAACGACGGTTACACATTAAATCGTATAGTTGCGTCTATTGCATTACCACTTAACAGCCTTCTGCAGCCACTAAATATTTGGGCAGGATCATAAAACTTAGATAAAGAAACGGTTGTGTTTTCTACAATGTCAAACCCTTACCTCCCACGTAGCCCCTTTTTGAAATGAACACATTTTTGTATTATATAATTTAGTCTTAGCTATGGGGTTGAACTGAGAAGTTTGTCTTACTTGGAGAGTCCAAGGAAGAGCACTTACTTCATAAACACTAACTTAAGAGGAGAATGTAACTCTTAGTTAATAATACCTGAGATCAACTATTGTTTAGTTGACTTCTCAATAAAACTCCGATGTATACAATAAAGTTAATTAAGGATATTGCATTTAATATTCATAAACCCCTCTAAGACTCCGCAACGACATAATCCACGGTGTCAAGGATTTCTTAATCCCAGGACACGACAATAGGGCAACTAAAAAATATAAGGTTTATTTAGAATTGAAGCCCTATAAAATCAAACTTGAATAATAATGATATTAAGTCATTAAAATCCAACATAGTTCTTCAAAATTAAAAGATAACGTTTTATTTCGATACTCAGGCCCTTTCTTAACGTTACATTTGTATTGCATATAACAGTAGTAGCCAGACTTTGCAACAAGAGGCATAGTTACCTACCTGAAAATATTGGAAGCCGCACCACACGTTTTTTGTTTAAATAATGCTGAATCATAATGTATAATAGATATTTTATTTTTTAGTTGAGTCACAACAAAACTCTTTAAGAGCCGCATTCGACTCGCGAGTCACTGTTTGGCCACTCCTGGTATATAAGAATGCATTTTTCTTGAATGTACAAGACTACAAGCAAAGTATGTAGTAAAAGCTAGAAATTTTGTTAGGTGAAATAATGTGGATGGAATAAAATGGATATGATAAAATTGAATAAAATATAATGTAATATAGTTTTGGTTTTTATTAGTAACTTATATTTAAACAGCATGAACAATTTGAGATATAGCCTATGTTAATTTACAATATTATGTAATATTATTATAGTAATTATTATTATGCACGTCTCGCTTTTTTCCATCCTCAATAATATTATATATTATGTTTTAAATATATTTATAATTTCATCTCATATATTTTGCTTTCCATGAATCGAAGCCGATGAATAAAACATGAACTAGCTAAATTTGTAATACTATCATCCATTTTATTAAAACCCAAATTTATACAGCTTCATTACATTATGAAAAACATTAAATGTGAAAAGAACACAAGCGAACAAATAAAATAAAAATAAAATTAATAATTAAGTGATCACTTAAAAATATTTACAATAAGATAACAATACCGTGGTGAGGTGGTCTCGGACCATGGCGCGACAGAGTATATGAAAATAGGGACTCTACAGAAGCAGATACTAGCGGTACACCTTCTTCCACGTCCGTTCTTCCCGCCTTCAATCCTCTTTCTCCTCTTCTCTCAAGAATTCCTGCCTTCTTTTCCCAGATTACGCTCTTCTCTTGACCTTCTTTCTCTTCTCCATCATCTTCCACCGTCCGCCATCCTCGCCCGCTCTTCTCGATGATATAATCATGCTTAATTATTATTGTATATTCCATTCCTTAATTCTTAATTACATTTTATTTATTTATATTATATAATATTTATAATAAAAACAAGTTGAAAATTAAGAGGCAGTCGGAGGGGGCATCGTTTTTTTTTAAATATTTTTTTTGTTGTTTTGTTTTCTTTGTCTTTTTTTGTTGTTGTTGCTTGGATTGAAGTGTCAGGGGAGTTAGTTATTATATACTCTGACAGATGACAATATATCGTTTAACTTTATTTAATAAAAAAATTAATTTATATTATATGGCGTACCGCTTGCCGCATGTTATAATACTAAAACACAGATTATCCAGATGGAGTATTCTATTTGGAGATTTGAACAACTCGAATGAAGTCGAGAGAGGAGAATGTTGAATGCAAATCAGTGAGTTTGATATAATTAAATTCAATCTGAACGGTTATTCTCCAACGTGACGCACCTTTTCCTCCCTCATCTTATATCTAATATAGATTTTACATTAAATCCCAACTTGACTGGTCAATGATTTGCAAGAACATTTCCTCTCTGCTTACTTGGCGTTGAAATATGCTGTCGATTCAAAAATTTGATTGATCAAATGTATTTATGCGGTTGGTATTTAATAAATGTGGGCGTGGCAGAAATTGGTGGGCGTGTCCGAATCTTGCACGGGCATACCCCATCTGCATGAATCTGTGAGTAAACTATATACAAAGAAATAGGTATGTAATAATGAACGTTTATCATCGTGATTAGTAGTCATGTTGTATTGAGCACGACTTTTTTTACACTTAACACGATTTAACAACACAGTTACAACTCTAGCTAACCTAAGTGTTGAAAGCCTAATAATACTACACTCGTCATTCACATCGACACTACGGATGGTGGAGTGGGGGTAACGCGGCAAAACAGAAACCTGCGGCGTTGCCCCGCCTCCTCGGACTGACAGCACTAAGGCAACTGTTTTCAACTGGAATGTATGAAAACACTATTGCATCTAAACAAAAAATAAAGTAAAAAGAAAACAAAATTATAAACGTAACTTTCGTACCTCGACTGCTTGAGATTCAGACTGTCACAAAACAAAAAACCAATATATATATACTATATATTTATATAACCAACAATTGTTTACTTCCTCATTATTCATTTTTTTATGCATTTAATTTTTTTTATTTTACAGAGCTGTCGTTGGAAGAATACTTGCACTCGTTGCCCCGCCCACAATGAAAATAGTCCCCGTCTTGTTTCTTTATCGTTTTTTTTTATAAAAATTAAAACCTAATTAGCGTAGAAAATAGTAAAATCGAGTGATGTGCGCGAGCCACGGCCGCCCAAATCGAACTAATACAACAAAGAACATACAGAAACAACTCGTGTGACCTTCATTTCTTTCTTCCCTCTCTTCTTTGACATTCGTATTTCTATTATATTTTTAAATTATTGTGCATTCGATCATCGCCAATGATATACATCCAAGGCTTCCCATCTACATTCGGTTCTTCAAGCAGTCGAATGTGAGCGTGTATCTTGTGTTGTGAACTGCCAGTGTTGGGGGTGGCTCGCAAGTATTTCTCCAACGAAGTATTTCCTATATAGAGTAACTGCGTCTCCCTCGATTTTGTTCTATTCAATCATAATCGTAGTAGTAATAATAAAAATAGAAATAGAGAAGAAAGGTGAACAAAAATTTGTGGGGGAGTAGACGCAGGGCGTTGGCAGTCGCTGCACTTAATAGTAAGTCTCTTGTTCCAACCAGCCTCCAGGGTTGCGACGCAGATAGAAACGTCTAGTCTCATCGTAGATGAAGATGGACAACATGAATGGCAAAGCTGGCAACCACCACACGAATCTGAAAATTTAAAATACAAAATATTAAAAAACCGTTCGACTTTTAGATCATCATGTTTGCAAAATGCCCTGCAAATGAAGAAGGCGAAAGAAGCAAGAAATATAGTCTTACTTGAGTGGGAACATGCGGAGACCCTTGTCCATTCCTGGAGTATATGAAAGGAAGGCTGCGAGGGCAGTCTCGAAGATCAGACCGAAGTTGAGGGCCCAATTGCGCATTCCTTGGTGAACGATCGAGTTACGTCTAGTCTTGCAAATAATCAAATCGGCCCATTGTACGACGACGATGGAAACGAAGAAAGCGGTATGGCAAGTGTATTCCAAAGTCTTTCTGTCACGGTAGGTCTGTAAACAAGGAATCATTCAAAATAAATGTCCATTGCAAAGTATGATTATTGAAAACTTACCCATTCCTGTCCGTAGGAATCAGTCAAATCGTTGACGGCTTTCGAGTCCCATTGTTTCCTGATACCGAACAACATCATTGGCAAGAATCCGTTTTCAGCCATGATCACGAAGTAAACGAAGAAACCGGCAGCCGCTTGGATCATACCAATCTGTCCGTAGGCCATCGAAATCAATCTAAAGGGAAAAAGAGAAATGACGAATCCAAAATTAATAATCAACGTTCACGGTTCCCTCAATTCTGGCTCTACTGCCTTAAGCCTATATCCAATTAATTTCATTCATGAAAATCGACAGTAATTAAAGTAAATTAAGAGGACACAAGTTTAAAACAACAGTTTTGTTTAGTAACAAATACTTACGACATAAAATTAACATCCAACCATGCTGTATTTAATAAATGTTAAAGGCAATGTTACACTTACATGCAATTTGGGTTACACATATAGGTGTCCAGTTTGATTGATTTATATTACAAGCGTTCAATGAATTTAGATTGCATCAAATCATACATATTCAAAACCCAATTCAATGAACGCATATACAAAAACAAAATAAATACGTACATACATTTAAAGCTGTTCAAAACGAAAACAAAAACCACAACAAAAAGAGTCAACATATAAAGTTATTCTTGCTCCAATCACACCAATGTAAGCTCCTCCAGGAATTAATTAATTGAAGATGTAATGTATGAATAATAAAGGAGCGTACAGTGACGTTTTTTTAGTAGGATTTGGGGATTTGAAACGGGACACGGATTTGAATTCATGCAGAAACGATTGCTTGATTCGCGTTGGCGTTTTCTCTGAAACATTCTTATTTTTTTTCGAATCGATTAATAAATGTCTAAAACATTTTCAAGGCACGTGTGTATTTAGAAACGAAAATACACAGCTCATAAGAAAAACAAAAAACACAAAAATAAATCATAATCAGGGTTGTTTGTGTCTACTAAAGTGCACTACACCGTATCACACCAAACTATACCTCGGACTTAAGTAACAATGAGTTAAAAATACAAATGTATGTAATGACGCAAATTAAATAATAAAATTACGAAAAGATTTGATTATCAATTTGAAGATATTATTTATAATATTATTAATAGTTTTCATACAAAACCAAAGTGATTTTTTTTTGGGAAGACAAGACTAAATCAGTAGCTTATGAAAACTTGATATAATTTGTTTTTGCAAATTGTGCTTATTTACAGGTAATGTTAGATGTTTTAATTGAGATGAACGATTGAGTTTTCATCAAAAAAAGAAAAAAGCAGAAAAAAAGGAATGAACGATGAGTGATTTCTTTTAAAGAAATAAATACATATTGCATGGACACACGTATGTGGTGTGCCGAGGTTTGTTGTCTTTAAATACTTTTAAACAAATTTTTGTTGGGAAAAAATGTTTAAATGTTTGTTTAATTGATCGATTGTAGTTTTAATTATAGTTTTTTCAGTTTGTTTTGTAACTAGTGTGGTGCGATAGCATGTGAAATGTCGCGACGGCGACCCACCTTCGATTGACCAAGTTGTCTCTATACGGGTCTCGCGGCTGTCGTTTCATAATGTCCGACTCCGGGGCCTCATAAGCCAGAGATATAGCAGGCACCTATACAGTGGCCGGCGCAATACATATTGTTAGTAGTGAGAAAACGACATGCACAGATGAATTTTTGTAGTAGTTGTTGTTTTTAGATACTATCTTGTCGAAAGTTTATGGTGTGTTGAGCGGTTGAGATTCAGTTATAAAAAGGAAGTAATAGAGTAGAAAGGAGGAATAACACATAGAGAGGGGTTCACAAAGCGGGTTTTGTTTGTTATCTTTTTTTGGTAGATGGTTTCAGTTGTGCCAGAATGAGCCAGTCGAAAGAGTAGAGATAGCATAGATTCTAAGAGCTTCGGTGCCAACGAAAGGGAAAGATAGAGAGAATCGCGAAGAAACAATACTTACCAAACTACATTTTGGTACCTTTCAAACATCAATTAAACAAGGGAACGTAAAACAAACAAAAAAAAACATAAAAAACAACGACAAAATGAGGAAAGAAAACATAAAAATTCAAGCTGAGATAGATTGGTTTTGATTTGTTTTGAGATTTTAAATAATGAGATATATACAGGTGACGTTCTTTTTTAATAAGGATGTGGCTTGTACTGATTTTCGGTAACATCGACAATAAAGAGACAGAGATAGAGAAAAAGATGCAGCCGTATATAAAATAAATATTTATATATATGTATAAGTCAGGTATTTCAGTACACCCAGCTCTTCGTATTTCTTTTTTTTAACATTGATTTACCTTTCGTTGACCAATTTATCTGTGAAAGGGTTTCTAGGGCGGCGCTTCATGATATCAGACTCCGCCTCTTCGTACGCCAAGGATATGGCAGGCACCTGAGTGCGGTTAAACAAACATACACGTCAAAACAAAACAGGGATGAGAAAAGGGCCCGACCGATGGATCATTTTTAAGAAGATTAAATATTGAGATTGGGATTCTGCCTTCGATACTTTCACTCTTACAGGCATACAGCTTTACACGTTTTGGCTTCACTTGACTTCAAATTTAACTAAGAAAAGAGAAATATTCTTAAAAAGAAGTAACTATTTGTTCGATAATTTATACTACTTTACTTTAACTCGAAATAATTCGTATTAAATACATAAATATTTCTCTTAAGAAACTCTAAACGGAAGCTATAAATAATCATCATCTATGCTGAAACTATGTCAAACAAGCTGTGCTAAGCGAAATGGACGATGAGAATTGCTGTGATAAGGGAAAATGGAAATTGTGTTCAGTGTTAATCTGTTTCTCTAAACATATTTTTAAGGCTAAGATAATTAAGATAGAGATATTTAATGTATGTGTTAGGATTCGCTATTTGAGAAAGTTTTCTCTATAATAAAATAATTGTATCACTAGTATCAGTTAACTGAGAAAAAGTAGATACAGAAAACTATGGAAAAGCACTTCTCTATATGAAATCGCACCCAATTACTACATGTATATATTATATCGTTCAGTACGTAGAGAGAGAATTCCTTGAAGAGAAAAGTAGTTCAAGAAAGATAAAAATTGATTGGAAATCTTTATCTAAACCTAAACACATGCAAAAGAAAATTGTATAAAATATTTTTCTTTGTATCACCATAGGCATCACACCAGTAAGTTGTTGTAACCCATTAGTAAATGTTAGTAATCCCCAGAAGCAAAGCTTTCGTCGTTCAGTCAATTAGTAACTTTTGTTAAATAATAAATAAAATAAAAATAATAACTCAACCTAGAATTGACTAGTTTATCATCGTAAGGATTCCTAGGGGGTCTCTTCATAATGTCAGCTTCGGCTTCCTCGTAAGCCAGTGAGATGGCAGGCACCTGTTTTCATTTTATATTTTCGTAAATTTATGTTCTTTTTTCTTCTAAAAAATCTCATTTCTTTATGAAAGCCGATTAAAAAGGTACCATTTTATTATTTTTTTCCTATGTCGAATAACTTGTTCAAATAATAACAAATGCAAATAAAAATTAACAAAAAAAAATAATCAAGTACCTTCAAATCAGATCATTTAAGACAACTTAAGGATACCAGAAAAAATAATATATAAATAAAAGAAAAGGCTGCTTTGTTTGCAAATAAAATATTTATATTCAAATATTTTCCTTCATTCAACTATAAAGCAGAGTTTATGATAATTAGGAGAAGAAAATATATAAGTAAAATGTTTTCATAAGATAATATTTGTTATAAATATTTTGTTATTGTGAGGCCCAAAATGAATGTGAAAAAAATAATAGAATAAAAATAAAATGTTGGTACTTAGAACAAAAAAATGTAAATAAGAAACTAGTGTAAAGTCGGAAGCTGTTTTACTAAGGTGGGTCAAAATTGAGTAAAAAATTCTGAGAGAAATAGTAGCAAAATACTTAACCTTTTTGACGTTACCTTTTAGACTCGAATACAATTTGAACCTGACTTTAGTATTATTATATATATGGAAAATAAAATAGATCAAAAGATACTCTTCCAATCAAATACGAAGAAAACTAAGTTTATGCACTTCTATCGTTAAGAGAGAAAGAATTTCAATAGATGTCCCTGACATCTTATTTTTTTGTCGGACAAAATAATAAAGGAAGTAAAATAATCGGAAGTATAGTCAAATAGAGAGAAGAGCATAAAGTGTTTCAATAATAAATAGAAACGAACCGAGCCTACTTGTGCACAAAATATATAATATCTCGCAACTACATGCTTCTCAAAATATATAGAATATAGAGAGATAAGAGATCGTTATGGTTCTCAGTATTGTACCTTTCATTTACTAATTTGTCGTTGTATGGGTCACGGGGGCGTCTTTTCATAATGTCGGATTCGGCTTTTTCGTACGCAAGTGAAATTGCAGGCACCTAAGTACATCGTTATCAATTATCTTTCAAGAGATTTTCTCAACAGTTTCGCCTTTCTTATTAATACTATTTTTTCATTTAAAAAATCAGCGATTGCAATAATTATAGTAAAAATGTATCTTAAATGCAATGTATATGTATAGAATTTTATCTGGTATTGATGCCTTAAGTGTTATTGTTTCATAAAAAATATTATCCATTGTAAAAGTGTAAAATAAAACAAAACTTACCATGTCAGTTCCAAGATCAATGCACAGAATAGTGACGGTTCCAAGTGGAAGTGGGATGTCGCACAGGATGAATGCAAGGAAAGGTGAAATTTCAGGGATGTTGGAGGTCAAAGTGTAGGCAATGGATTTTTTCAAGTTGTCGAAGATAAGACGTCCTTCCTCTACACCAGTAACGATCGAAGCGAAATTGTCATCCAGCAATATCATGTCAGCTGCTTGTTTGGATACGTCAGAACCGGCTATACCCATGGCAACACCAATATCTGCTTTCTTCAAAGCCGGAGAATCGTTAACACCGTCACCTATACGGAAGATACAAATTATTAATAATAAATATTTGAGTAATGATTGAGAAATAGGTGCTTACCAGTTACGGCTACGATGGCACCCATGCGTTGACAACCTTCAACAATAATAAGTTTCTGTTGTGGAGAGGTTCTGGCGAATACAATTTCAGTATGATATCTGAGCACTTCATCCAATTGGTCCGATGAAAGTTCCCTCAAGTCAGTGCCGTGCAAAACAGCAGCCTTAGCTTCACGTGGATTAACTTCAGATACTGGGATATTCAATCTGTTGGCGATGTCTTCTACGGTTTCGTTTCCTTCGGAGATGATACCGACAGACTTAGCAATGGCTTTAGCAGTGATGGGATGATCGCCAGTGACCATGATAACTTTAATACCAGCACTTCTGCATTTGGCAACGGCATCTGGTACAGCGGCTCTCGGAGGATCAATCATAGACATAAGACCAACAAATCTGAGTCCTTCAATTGGGAAGTTAGCGTCGTCGGAATTGAATTTGAAACCAAGTGGGAATTTATCGCTGGGCATCAAGAAATCGCAGAAACCAAGTACACGTTCACCGAGACCACCCAATTCGAGATATGCGTTGTTGAATGCTTCCTTCATCTCCTCGTCTAAGACCTTTTCCTTTCCGCAGATGAAGATGCTGCTGCACCTTTCCAAAATACGTTCTGGGGCTCCCTTCATGACCAAGATGTGCCTGGGGTCGTTGGGATCTTCGTTTTCGTGGCAGGATACTTGGTATTTGTTGGTAGAGTTGAATGGAATTTCACAAACCTTCTTATTCTTACGCCTGATGCTCATAACATCTCCCAAAGCCAATTCCATGCATTTCAAAAGAGCAGCTTCGGAAGCGTCACCGTTAACTTCGCGTTTCAAAATTGGAATACCGTCTTGGCCTGGCTTGAATTCGGCACGGTTGCAGAGAGTAGCGATACGGGAGAGGGCTTGGAATCCGGGAGAAGTACGATCATATTGGACGCCAGATTGATCTTCGGTAGTATCAGCCTCAATGATTTGGTTATCGAACCACATGTGAGCGACAGTCATCCTGTTTTGAGTCAGTGTTCCGGTTTTATCAGAGCAAATTGTGCTAGTTGATCCAAGAGTTTCAACAGCTTCCAAATTCTTAACCAAACAGTTCTTTGAGGCCATCCTCTTAGCAGTCAGTGTCAAACATACGGTTACGGTAGCGAGTAAACCTTCTGGTACATTAGCTACGATGATACCGATCAAAAAGATGACAGCGTCGAGCCAATGGTAGCCTAAGATAAATGCAATGACGAAGAATGTAACACCTAAGAACACAGCGACTCCGGTAATAAGTTGGATGAAATGGTGGATTTCCTTGGCAATGGGAGTGTCCCCGGTGTCCAAGCCGGAAGCGAGACCGGCGATCCTACCCATAACAGTGTGATCACCGCAGCTGATCACAACACCCTTGGCAGTGCCCTCCACAGCGTTGGTCGAGAAGAAAGCCAAATTCTTAGTTTCCAATGGATTTTCGTGAGTGAATTCGGGGCTCCGGCTCTGTGGCTCGGATTCTCCGGTCAATGAGGAATTGTCAACTTTGAAGCCTCGGGATTCAATGATACGAATATCAGCTGGGATTCTGTCACCGAATTTCACCTCGACGACATCACCCAAAACTAAATCTTCGGCGCGAAGTGTCAACTTCTCACCTTCCCTAAGTACCGTAGCGAATTGAGGTACCATATTTTTGAATGACTCCATAATCTTGGAGCTCTTACTTTCTTGATAATACGAAAATATACCTGCAGAACAGAAAACCATTAATTACTCCTTTCCTAGAGTTAAAATACAGAGTATCGTACCTGTAACGATAACAACAGCAGCTAGTACAATGCCGAGATAAAGGTTATCATCGGACGGCTCTTCAACGGTACTAGCCAGAATGGAGTAGGCGGTAAAACAGAGGATAGCTCCGATCCACAAGAGGAGTGCGAAACCACCGAATAAATTTTTACAGAACTTGACCCATTCGGGGGTTGTCCTGGGTGGTGTGAGTGCGTTGGGTCCGTCCCGTTCCAAATTTTCCTTCGCTTTCGCATGACTGAGGCCCTGAAATTACACAAGATAATTAATAACAATACCTATATCAATAACAACAATTACAAAAAACTTACATTTTCTGGATGTGTTTGGAACCTTTGATACAATTCTTCGGGTGAGATCTTATGATAATCGATGTCCAATTCTTGTTTTAAGTCGTCTAAATCATCTGCTTTCCTTGCCTTCTTCGTATTCTTCCTTCGTGACTAAACATCAAAGAGAGTATAAATATGTATGGAGTCACGGTTATTCAAGAAGTAAAACCAAATTAAAGTATAGGGAAATACCAACACCAACGGAAAATAATTTGCAGAGAAGTATACCATAAATCAGAAATCGTTAGTTAGTAAGTTTCAGAAACAAGAGAGATCAGAGCAAGAGGCTCGACATTAGGAATGCTATAATTATAATGTAGCCGCTTTAAATACTCTTTTTCAGTTGAATTCTCATGTGACATTCCAACTTTAATACACGCTCATATACCAGACCTTATGCTATTTTTATTTACGCCTAGCTAAATTCGTAACTATTTCGCATACAAACCACAACAGTACATCCGTTGATCCAAACTAATTTGCAAACGCTAATTCATTTTTATTTTCCTTACATGAAATGAAAAAAAAAAACTATTTCAGAAAGACTGAAAGTAATGTAGGTTACGCTGGTACTACATCTATAAATAATTCAATGAGTGTACAGTTTATCCCACGAAACTGTTAAAATATTCAATAAATTCCACCATACCGACTGAAAAACCAATAATTTATAGGCAAACTATAAATAGCTGCATAGTAGGAAAATCATAATACATAGCAGAAGTAGAAAACTGAATCCAATCTAATATTTGGTCTTTACATGTTAGCCAGGTGTTTCAGCAAACATGTGCCAACATTACGAAAACCGAAAAAAACAACTGGCAACCTTACATAATAATACAAATGTAATGCAGCAAAAGTGCGGTTTCAGTGTCTACAAAATATAACCGACAATATCCAAATGATATTGTATCAAAGGAAACGATAAGGAAACGGCGCCCGGTGGAATTTCATTCCATAAACAGAAAACAATGTATTTTATCGACTTTCTTTCATGTGGAAACTTGATTATGAAATCTAAAAGTGGAATTATTAAAATGCAAAAGTCGGAATTTAAATTGAATACGAGTTTGGTTACGAATATTATGCTTCGAGATTCATGAAACTATTTTCAATGATAACGAAACAAAATAAACTATTATTATTCTGCTCATAAAACATAATTTAAGTAAAATAAAGTTAGTATATTTCCACAACCAGCGATAAAGATCCACTAATCTACAGTTATAAAATTGTTACCATTTTTGCAAATATGAAACAGACCTAGTCTGAATTTAAATAAGCTTAAATTTAGATGCTGTAAGATAAACGAAGTAATGAAAGCGCCGAAACATTTGTGGTCGTCTCAAACGGTTTTCGGAGCTTATCGTTTTAACATAAAATCATCAGTTTCAATAAATATTTCACTTTCGTTCAAAGTCTACTGTTTACATGCACACATATAAATACAATTTATGAGGTTATAGGAGAAGAATAATGTTAGTCCATTGAGTTGTTTTTTTGTTAATCCATACTTTACCAAATAGAACTACAAAGAAGATAGAGTCCACCATCGCCGATCCAAGAGAACGAAGGTAGTTATACATAAACATAGAGAACAAGAGGAAGCGAATCTAAATACCAAATACCTTTGCTCTGCCATCTGCAGTTTTATTGTCATCGTAACTCGAGGGTACAGTTGCCACACGATAGGAATCTGAACGTCCGTGCTGTAACATAAGCCATCTAATGCTAGACAAACATGCTAAACGCCACAGAACAATAATATGCAAAACAACAAATAAAAACAAAAAATATAACATAAAAAACAATAATAATCAAGCAAACGCAAAATAAATGGAAACAACGCTTAATTAATTAGATTATTTCTTTGGAGTAGACTTCTACTAATTTTAACCGGGTACAAAAAAAATCAATTTGAATGTTTTCATAAAATCTTAAAAAACTATGAGCGCGTATTATAAACGAATTCTTAATGCTTAATCAAGCATGCGCATTCTACACGAATGTACATTATATTAAAAGATTTTAGTACTTATTATAAAAGAAATTCTACTCCAAACTAAAATAACCGACTTGAAATGCGATGATGAAATATCTAATATATTTCAGGGAGCTTCAACATCGGTACACCCAAAACTCGTTTCGCTCTATTTGAAACCAGAATTTCTTCTCGAAGAGGGACCACGAGAGCTGATCATTAACATGGGGAGTGAACAGCTGTGCGCTCGTTAATCCGCCGATTATGTATACCTAATGAAGGAACATGATGAATGCATGGGAAATAACGATGCTGATAATAAAATTAGTTTTCTGCGCGCAAAGCACATACATGCACAAGGCGAAAAAGAAGAGCGCGGGACGAAATGTATGCCAAGATTTATAAATAAAATTTAGCATTGGGAGACGAAACTAAACAAACTTACCTGCTAGGAAATTTCTGTTGAGGTCGAGTTTACGAATTTAACAAAAATATATATAATATAAATATGTGTAGATACATTCTTTGGATGGGGCGAATTACAATAACGGTAATAACAATAATAATATTACGTAAATATGGTTACAAGGCCGAATGCGCAAATTCGTAGAGTACCCAGACTGTAGCTTCGCCACATTACCTTAATTGAATAAATGTTTCCTATTGCGATAAAGGAAATATTTAACTGGGGCACCGTATTAGTATTTACGAAACATCCAAATTAATACACGCTGCTGCTCGTTGCGTAAGCGATAGATAACGCGCTGGACGGCGCGGATCTCTTCCCCCCAAACGTTATCAGAGTCAATGCCAGCGGAAATTCGGATTGGAGGCGGCTGCAACGTCGGAGTTTCATAGAAGAAAATCGTCCGTGCAGAAAATTGGACGATCTCTCACCGAATCAATAGCAATCATATATAATTACTTTGAAGCCGTTTTGTTTATTGTTTATTATTCAAGTGTTCTTATGGTTTTATTGTTATTTCGTAATAATATATAGAATCTGCACAGACTTATTTAATTACTAAACCAGTTCCTTTAAGAACAAACAAATACAAATGTAGATAATGAAAGTTAACTTGTGAAGGATATTCAACAATAATATTTACAAATAATATTTTTGAATCGACATTGATTATATAATAATACTTGTTATACTTTATGTTATGTATATTTAATTACCTTCTAGATTAGATAAAATTCTTCAACAATAATTAAAAACTTGCATAGTATTTCAAGAACTTCAAAACTAATATTGTTAGAATTACAACTATTGTTATTCACTTACAAAAATAATCCTTAATTACTCATGAATAATTGAATTTCCATAAGCAAGCATTGGTTCAAACAAAACAAACTCATGAAGAAAATCAAATGATTGATCGAAGAAAAAAAATGTCACGCACTGTTGTTTTTCATGCTTCGCAATAATTTGCAACATCTTCGTTGCTTTTTTTTTTGTTTTTTCTGCATTAATTCCGTTACCAAATGTCGATGTCGCAACACAAAACGTTACGACACTTACCATTTTATTATTTCAGCTTTTTTATTTCTATTTTTTATAATTTTATTTGCTTTATCTATTTCAGAAATGAAGAATGGTAAATTCGAAATGAAGAAACGTCACGCAACGTACTGAGAATGTGAAATATTTGTTTTGCTTATTTCGAACTTTTACGACGTTTCAACAGAAAAATGGTGTATTTTCGTGAGGCGGTGATTTTTATATTGCCAATGGAACGTGCAGCGTTTTCAATTATCGGAATTAATGTGTTTTAATTAACGCTGATTATTTTCTTAAGGACGATCCACTTAAAAATGTATCAATCTCCTGTGTAAGAATGGAGTTGAGAGGCCTTGTATTGAACTCGTAATAATCAAAACGTTTTCTCTGGAAACTATTTGCATATTTGTGCGTCTGCTGGGAAATTACTGCTACGCTAAACACTTTGGCAAACATTGCCGAATAATAAGTGAGTAACTTCAATTAGCATTGAAATAATACAGCCTTTAAATTATTGTCTACTATTAAAACCAATAAGTTCAGTAAAAAAAAGAAAAATATCTTTTAAAATTGCTTTACATTAAACAAAATAATTATAATTGAATTCGTTTAATTAAAAAATAATAATTAAGAAAAACTATCAATGGGTTCAAGTCTTCTTTTGAAGTGAAGTACTACTACATAATAACATAAGTGCAAACTAGAAATCCTATGATGTTTTCAAATTAAATTTTGTTTGCGTGTTGATTCGAACACTTTTTTAAAAATGTCACTAAAAAATATATGTGAAGTACTAATGAAGTTTGTGCACGTTCTTGAAAAGTGTAAAAGGAGAAAAAGGTCCAAAGATTTTTTATTGAGATTAGATGTAACGTCGACCTGACTGTTATAAACATAAATGGAATCACTTCGTCTAAAGCAGAAATTGCCCATTGTTCGGGTTACTATTTACACTTTGTCGACATGCTTAAATAATACTCTTACATCTGAGGTTATCTAATCTTGAAATTATAAGTATGAATTCAAAATAGCACGTGTAGATTAGTCATGGACCCAATTCTATTTGGCAATTTAATGTACTGGTATGAGAGTGAAGAAGAGACATTCAAAAGTAATTGGCGAATGAGATTATTTTTTCTTTAAATACGTTTTCAGTTGCGGCTAAGTCTAAATTAAACATTGCCATGAAAACAACGTTTGCGAGTGGATTAAATCGTGTTTGGGCTCTAACCTTGATCCGACACGAAACAGCTGTTTATGTCTAGGTTATATTTAATCTTACTTATATACAGGGAGTATACACTAAAAAATGCTATAAGAAAATTAAAAATTGTTGTGTTTTCTTTACATTTATTCAAATCTAACAAGAATTGTTATTGAAAAAAATAACCTTAAGAAATTCCACTATCTTGTTTTTTGTTTGTTATTTTATACATTTGCATTTGGAAACTGTGTAAATTCCGATTCTGATTACTGCAGTTACGTTGATTTCCGAGAACTTCGATCAACGATGAAGCAAAAAAAACCCAAGTCTCAATAATGTATTCATTTTCACTATTTGTAAATAAAACTTTAATTCTCAGTACGATGTATTAATTTACTATAAAAACAAAATTAAAAAAAAGTAATTTTGCTAGATGAAACTATTGTGTAATTAAATCTTCTCATTAACCTACATAAGTACTTGAAATACTTATAATAATTTGCATTTTAAATTACATTAGTATAGTGATAATCACTCAACGAGAGAAATGGATTGTAATATTTATTTACGAGATCGATGCAGTCAAAATATTTATTTTCACATTGGCAACGGCGAATTGTTTGTTAGGTTACGTGTAACCAATTAGCGTTCAATTTAAGCCAAACTATGTGATCTGGTTCTATCCGGTTCATCTGATTTACACAGACTGTTTGGCATCTAGAATCAATGCATTTAGTTTTGTACGTTATTTGAAACTGTTTTAAACTTTGATCAAAATATAAGCAAGTTAACATTATTTTCTTATACTTTTAAAGTGTATATTAAAGATAATTAACACATTTTTACAATATATTGCATATAACATTATTAAGTAATGTAAGGATGATAATGTAATGTATTAATTATGAAGAAAGAAACTTTAAAATGATCCATTTACAAAGTATTTAATTTAAATAAGCGACGAGCAATTACAGTGAACGCAATATTCATAAACTAAGCTGTTTAAATTACAATGACTTTAACGAAAGTGATTAGTGATTCTCTCCTTCGCAGGTCATTTAATTTTTAGTGCTCAGTTATTTTCTCATCCGATCTTTTATAGTTAAGCAAAGAAACAGTGTGGAGGTAAGCGAGAGAGAGATAATAATCAGGTAAACGGTTCTACAGAATATGAAATGAGAGGTGAGTAAAACTGGTGCCAGCTAGTTTCTACCGATTCGTTGTTTACCTGCTTTTTTTCTATATACAAGTTCACTCTCGAAACGAGAAGCTGCATGATCTGTTTGTTCAATGGCGTTGATTAGGTAATAGTTCTGTTTACGTTCACTGTGTTTCCTCAATTCAACAAACAAACGAAATACCATACTGGATTTCACTCTTTCGAAGCAATTAAACGGCGTCTAACTAATATGATGAAGATTACTACAAGCAATAAGAAGAATAGGGTTCACAACTTTCTCTTAGTTACTAGGTTCTTTAGCTTAAGCCGAACGTTTTTGGACTGTAAACGAATCATTTATAATATATTTCTTTTTAACTATTTCTTTTATATTAATTGCAATTGAATTTCTTTTTATACGACTATTTCAAGGTAGACCTATGTATATTTTTTTGTAAATGAAATTAATATAATAATTTTATGCATCATTTAATTAAAAAAAAAAAATTCTTATGGAAGTAAATAAAAAAAAACAACAAGGCGGATTAAATTATCAAAGGAGAATAATATAAATAAAAACATAAACAAAACATGATTGACACACATATTTTTTTTGGTTTTGTGGCCTTGTTCGTTTAGCTACAAGCTTGTTCTTTGGATTGGAACATATTGAAATATTGACCGATGCAAAAAAAAACTCAATGCCAACGCTTATTTCGAAGACATTAAGAAAAATAAGTTGATATCGTATCTACTCTTTTGTATCCATAAAAATGTTGATGAACTTTTATCTTCAGATTTTATGCATCTGCATGTACATACAAGCATGGTTTTATCTATCATTGACTTGGGCGTTGTCTA